TTAGATCTATATAAGCCCACAGCCTTTTGCAATAAAGTGGAACTTTCTCTGGTGAATTGTCTCGCGTGGCTGCTTCTTTCACTGGGGATTGAACCCAGGATTGAACTCAGGGGTGCTTAACCAGAGTCACATTTCCAATGCTTTTTCTTTTTTGAGACAAGKTCTTGCTAAGATACCTAGGACCTTGCTAAGTTGCTGAGGCTGGCTTTGAACTTGGGATCCTCCTGGCTCAGCCTCCCAAGCTGTTGGGATTACAGGTGTACATCACCATGTTTGGATCTTAAATGTCGTCCCAAAGTCTATGTGCTGGAGACTCAGTACCCAGCCTTTGCTGCTAGCAAGAGGTAGCAGAAACTTTAAGAAGCAGGATGTAGTGGGAGATGTTGGGATCATGTCCTCAAAGAGGTGTGTCCTTGAAGGGGACTGTGGGAACCCAGTCTCTTCCTCTCTTGCTGTCTTTCAAGTCCCAGACATAAGATGTGTGACTTTGTTCCATTACATTTAGTCACCATGATGTGCTGCCTTGCTACAGGCCCCAAAACAATGAGACAAACTAACTATGGACTGAAACCTCTGAAACTGTGAACCAAAATACTCTCTTCATAAGTTTATCATCTCAGGTGTCTTGTTAGAATAATGGGAGGTTGATTAACACACTCATAAAATACCCTATTCTGTTTCTTAGCTACTCTGCTTTAGTTTGGACAATCTGCCCTAGCATTAGTTTTGATTTCTCTGAAAATGAATTTACCTCAAAATATCTACTAAAGATTCCTTACATGAAATTATTTTGCCTTTTAGGAAGTTGATTTTTTTTCTATGACAAGTACTTTTTCTAGCATTTGATGCTTAGCAAAATTGAATACCCAATTTTAGTATAAATCATAGGAGTAAATTTGTATTTTTAAATAGTGGTTTCACAATTTATTTTAAAGATGGCTTCACATCTTGTCCATTCCTGGGCCTGGCAGAATGGCTCCCACAAAGAAGGGTAACGAGAAGGGCCTTTTTGCCATCAATGAGGCAGTGACCTGAGAATACACCATCAATATTCACAAGTGCATTCATGGAATAGACTCAAAATTGTGCCTCTTGGGCACTCACAATCTGAAAATGTATTATGAAGAAGATGGAGACTCCAGATATGTGCTTTGATATCAGGCTCAACAAAGCTGTCCGAGCCAAAGGAATGGGGAATGTCCCATACCATATCCATATGCTGTTATCTAGAGAGGAAATGAGGATGAAGATTCACCACACAAGTTCTATATACTCTTGTAACTTATGTCTCTGCTAACACTTTCAAAAATCTGCAGATAGTCAATGTGGATGAGAACAAACCACTGACTGGCAAATAAATTTATAAAACTGCCCCCAAATAAAATGAAATGCACCATCTTAACCATTTTGAAGTATACATTTCAGGGGCATTGGGTACACTCACTGTTGTTATGAACATTACCACCTACCTATCTACAGGATTGTTTTTACAGTTAAGATGTGTGTGTGTGTGTATGGTGCTGGGGACAGAACTTAGGGCCTTGTGCATGCAAGCAGGAACTCTACCAATTGAGCTATATCCCCAGCCCCTACAGTTTTTTAAAATGTAAAAGCAAAATATTATTTCACACCAAAAAGGGCAGATACATTTTTAAGAAAGTCATTTACATTTTAAATATGACAAAATTCAGATTGGAACTTTAAATTATTTTATTAACGCAACTTTTGTGCCAAGGGGCACAMGTTTTAGGCTTGCTATTTAATAGTGACTATCAAACAGAGACCTTGGAAGTCAAAATCTAATATCACTGTGAAACCTTATACATTTTGCTCTTAAGGAGAAATAATTCAAAGTACTAAGTATTACAAACTCAGGAAAGATATTTCTGATGGTACAAAAAAACAGACTTTCCTTTCACTTGTTCAGTTCTATTGAAGCAAAACAAGTAGCGAGGGATCAAACCCATTCCCTCCTCATGTTGGTGCTGATGTCTTCCTACCTGTGGGAGAACCCCTTCCTAGAAGTGATGGTTTGGGTTCAGAAGGTAGTTCTATTTAGTGGGGCAAGGTAAAGTACAGCAATAGGATTTACCCAATTTTCTGCTAGCACTTGGCTAACTGAAAAGGAGCACAAGGCTGGAATCAGAACCAGGGTTTCAGGACACAAGTCAAGTTATCCTTAAAAGAGAAATATTCCTCTAGAATTTACATCTGTATCCTGTGGAATGGTTTCTTCAGTTCCCCTTTTTTTGTGTGCTGGGGATTGAACCCAGGGGCACTTAGCCRCTACTGAGCCACATCCCCAGCTCTTTTGATATTTTACTTTGAGACAGAGTCTTGCTAAGTTGCTTGGGGCTTTGCTAAGTTTCTAAGACTGGCTTTGAACTTGTGATSTTCCTGAGCCGCTGGGATTACAGGCATGTGCCTCTGCACCCAGCCTCAGTTCAGATTYTTAATCTGTACATTTCTTTTTCTCAAATGTTGTCCCCTGAAGATGATTTGATTATGCAATGAATGGTTTTGAAGCTATTTCTGGAGCAGGTGTTGAAGCTTGGGAAAGAGTTTCAATGCATTCTGCGTTGTTACTTCTACCACTTCTTCCACTGAGATCCCCTTCACTTGGGCAATATATTCAGCTGAAATAGAAACGTTGCAGGGCTCATTCCGTACCTGAAACAAAAAAACAGGCACTAATTTAAACATAATTCAAGGGAAGCAGGTCCTTGGAAACTGTAGATAAAACAGAAAAAAAAATGAGTTGGTGAAAAACAACTGATAAGTTCTTCAACAGATAAATGGATAAAGAAAATGTGGTATATATACACAATGGAATATTACCCAGCCATTTGCTGGTAAATGGATGGAAATGGAGACTATCATGGTAAGTGAAATAAGCCAATCCCCGCAAAGCAAAGGTTGAATGTTCCCCTTATATGCTGATACTAACACACAAAAAAGGAGTAGGGGAGGGAAGAATAGAAGCTCAGTGGATTAGACTAAGGGGAATGAAGGGAAGAGATGGGGGGATGGGAATAGGAAAGACAGTACAATGAATCCCACATAACTTTCCTATGTTCATATGAATACTTGACCAGAGTAACTCCACATTGTGTACAACCACAAGAATGGGAACCTAATTAGAATAAGTTCCAACCCTTGTATAATGTCAAAATATACTCTGTCACATATACCTAAAAAGAACAAATAAAAAACAACTGATAAAATCTTTTTTTCTGATAAGATCATCTTGTTTTTTTCCTTTAAATTGATTTACTTTTAAAAATTGTAGTTTTTTTTTTTAATAAGTTGATGAAGGCAGGAGAAAAGGTACCTCTGCAATATTGATTCTAAGTCTATGCTCCTTGGGGTATTAACAATTAAAGTCCCAGTTCCTAGCATATGAAGCAATATGTAGTAGTGAACACTTGGAGACTAGCTTGTCTGATGGATCAACTGTTCTTTAATTTGTTGCGTAAGTTGCTCCAAAAGGAGCTATTGCTTGGCCTCTTACCTCACAGGTTATATGACAGTTTGACTAAAAGAAAAACACCATCTATCTGGAAAGACCAGATAACCTATGTACTGGAATTTCACTGATTCCAAGATGCATTCCTCCTACCCCATCTTAACATCTCTGAAATGGATATATATATATATATTTTACTGACACTCAGTGGCATGTCTTAGTACAACACACAGTGTTTTTCTTTTCTTAACATATTGTATCTATAATCAGTAGCATTTAGATTTGATGAAATAAATAATTACTGTTGTTAYTAATAAGCATCTACTCATGGTGATAATATTCAGAGGAATAAAATTAATTGTTAAAGTTAAAAAAAACCTTATTAATGTAGCCTAACAACACAATAAAAAATGTGCACAAAAATTTATGTTCAAGTATGTTATTCGCATTGTTTATAATACAATCTAAATGGTTAATATTATTTATTTATTTTGAGCCAGAAATTGAACTCAGGGGCATTTGACCACTGAGCCTCATCCCCATCCTTATTTTGTATTTTATTTAGAGACAGGGTCTCACTGAGTGGCTTAACACCTAGCTTTTGCTGAGGCTAGCTCTGAACTCAAAATCCTCCTGCCTCTGCCTCCCAAGCCACTGGGTTTATAGGCATGCACCACTGCACCCAGCCAATATTTACTTTTTTTAGAGAGAGAGAATGAATCTTTTTTTTTTTTTTATGTGGTGCTGAGAATCGAACTCAGGTCCCACCCATGCTGAGTGCTCTACCACTGAGCCACAGTCCCAGCCCAAATATTTACTTTTTTAAAAAAATTAATTTTTTTTAAGAGAGAGAGAGAGAGAGAGAGAGAGAGAGAATTTTTAATTTTTTTTTTTTTTTTTAGTTTTCGGCGGACACAACATCTTTATTTGTATGTGGTGCTGAGGATCAAATCTGGGCCGCACGCATGTCAGGCACGCCGCTACCGCTTGAGCCACATCCCCAGCCCAAAATTAAATTATTTATTTATTCTAATTTGTTATACATGATGGCAGAATGCAATTCATTTTATATTACACATATAGAGCACAATTTTTCAAGTAACTGATTGCATATTTACTTTTAACACTGGAATATTATATAGTTGTTAAACATGAGGTGGAAAGTATATTTGTTAATATATGCAGAAGTGCACACATAAAAGGAAATTATGAAATAATACATTCAGGCTAATCCTATTTTTATGAAATATATGTATATACATACATGGATATAAAAAGTCTGGAAGGACAGAGAACTTACATTTATGTAGTGCTTTTTTTTTTTTATAGATGACTCTCTTCTAAACTTTTCATGAAATATTTCATTTAATCCTCAAAATAACTCCATGCAGTAGGTAGGATTACTAGTAGTACCTCTAATTTTAGTAGGTAAAAAAACATCCTACACAGATAGCAAGAAGGCCAGCTGAGATTAAACCCAAGCAATCTGACTTTAGCCTGTAACAATTATAATGTGGCAGATAGTTTTATATTCTTGTTCATGATCTTCCCTATTTCTAACTTTCCAGAATAAACATTTAGGGCTGGGGATGTAGTTCAGTGGTAGAGCCCTGGCTAGTGAGGCTGTGGGTTTGATACCCAGCACCACCAAACACACACACACACATACACACACACACACACACACACACACATCTATATACATACATACAAAAAATGTTTATTGAATACCTACTTAGTACAAGGCACTATGCCACAAACTCAGTTTTTGTTAAATCATCTAAAAACAAATAAAAAAACTGAGTTATAACAGCATTCAAAATTTATTCTTGTTTAGGAGAAAAATGCTAGATCCTTTTCTTTCATTTAACATGTCAGGACAGTAATTCTATACTATTCTGACCTATACTCAAATAGAAAAAAGAAGTTATGATCCTCTACTTTCTCATTCCTGGCTTTTATACTCTGATAAAAAATGATTTACAAAAATGTAGTTAATTAGCCAGGTATGGTGGTGCACGACTATAATCCTACTGGCTTGGGAAGCTGAGACAGGAGGATCACAAGTTCAAAGCCAGTCTCAACAAAAGTGAGGTGCTAAGCAACTCAGTGAGACCCTGTCTCTAAATAAAATACAAAATTGGGCTGGGGATGTGTCTCGGTGGCCATGTGCCCCTGAGTGAAATCCCCAGTACCCTCTCCACTAAGAATGTAGTTAAATGGATATTAATTAGTATAATTCACATCGAAATCACAAATAATCATCATTTGTTAATAATCACATAATGATTTCTGCTGCTTCTAGACCTCCAAATTTTGAGGGACAGTTCTCTGAATTTGGGATGTGTAGAGACACAGATCTAATGGACATCACAAGCACTTATCAAATTGTACATTATGAGGTAACTGTAACAGACACTATTTAAAGCAAATAAAAAGCAGATGCTATGACTTCCTTTCAGAAAATTATATATAATTTGGCTATATAATAAATATATAGCCAATATAGCAATATGAAAGTATGAAATTTAAAAGGTGATTCTTTGTGGTCTACAATAACAAAAAGAGATACTATAGCAAAGGTCAGATACACAAATCTATGATTCTATCAATACTTGTAATGAAAGAAATACATAATAACAAGCTAATTAAAAGGAGAAAAATGAATATTTATTGATCACCTACAATATACCAGCTACTGTTAGGTGCTTTCACGTACCTTCATGTAGTCCTTACCATAATCCTTAAAGTATAGTATTATTTTGCCCACATATTATAAATGAAAGAAAAAAAAACAGTTTCAGAGAGATTAAAAAGCTTACCCAAAGTTATCTAGTCAGCAACAGAAACAAAATTTGAATCAAATCTTTCTGGTTCTAGACACTGTGTAAATTAGGGCATGCTCCCTAACAAATTACATTCTATGTAGCACAACAGCTGTATTTAGAAAAAAACTCAATACACGGCTGGGGAATTGRTCAGTGATAGAGCATTTGCCTAGCATGTGTGAGGCACTGGGTTTGATTCTCAGCACCACATATAAATAAACAAAATAAAGGTTCATTGACAACTAAAAATAATTTTAAAAAACTCAATGTAAACAATCAACCTAGCATTAGGATTCCACTGTATTTACACTATGCCGAAAAACATAGTTAAACTGAAACAGCTAACATGAAAGATACAACCTAAATAATATTCAAATTGAAAAATCATTTACCTGTTTTTCTGGTCCTAGCACAGGTGAATCTGTTTCTAAGCAGATCGAAGTTAAAGGCAACTGTTTCACAAGTTTCTGCTTCTTAGAGAAAAGAGAAAGCCAATAAATTAAAACRTGAAAAAATACAGATAAAATATTAAACCCGCATGCATCATTCCAGAAGAAACTAAAATTCAGGTTTTAATAGTAAATTGATAAATACTACCTGGATGACTACTATGTTCACATCATTCCACTATTAACAGTTATTGTTAAAATATTAACACTCATTGACAAACTTATTCAAAGCTTCCGGGGAACTAAGCTTCTAGTTATAACCATAGCAAAAATGAAGTAAGTCCATCAAGAAATTCAAATATCTTTTTTTTTTTTTTAGAGAGAGAGAGAGAGAAAACTTTTTTAATATTTATTTTTTAGTTTTCGGCAGACACAACATCTTTGTTTGTATGTGGTGCTGAGGATTGAACCCGGGCTGCACGCATGCCAGGCGAGCGCGCTACCGCTTGAGCCACATCCCCAGTCCCAAGAAATTCATATATCTGATATCACATATCTTCTGAAAGACCCAAAGAAGAGAATTCCGTCATTGGCCCACCACTGCCACATTCAGTGTTTCTTTCTATCTACCTTTAATTTTTTGAGGAACTACTAAACTGAGTTGGGTAGTAGAGCATCTCACTGTGCCTTTGATTGGCATTAACATAATGGAGAATAATGTTGAGCATGTTTATGCACTTATGGTCACTTGATGTCTTCTTGAGAAAAATATCTTTGTAAATCCTTTGCCAATTTTTAAAATCAAGTTTGTTTTTTTTTTAATTATTGAGCTGTAATGGTATGTTACATATTCTACCTGAACTTTTATCAGATACATGACTTGCAGATATTTTTTCTCTTTATGTGGGTTGTCTTTCCACTTTATTGACAGTATGCTTTGAAGTATATGTCTCTTTTTTTTAATTGCAGAAGTTGTGAATTTTGATAATGTCTAAATCTATATTTTTTCTTTGGTTGCTTATGTTTTTGTTGTTGTAGCTAGGGAAACCATTGCAAAACCAAGGTCAAAATATTTAGACCTATTTTCTTCTGAGGGTTTTATAAATTTTAGCTCTTATATTTTGGTCTGTAATATATTTTTAATATATATATATATATATATATGAGAGATATATTAACTTTTGAAATGTAACTAGAAAAGTATCATAAGTATGTTGTCAAAGCCTATATTTTAAAGTACATTTCACAAAGTATTGGAAGATAATTTTTAATGAAAAAATTTACCTGTCCACTTCTTATGATAGAAGGTGGAATTGAGAAGAAGTACCCAGCTCTTACTCCTTCCATGGCTACAGATGGCCGGCCATCAAACGCATGCAGCAGTACCTTGTCAGCACCTTCCAAAATTAAAGATAAATTAGTGTTCCACTTTGTTTCCTTAAGAAAAGTTTTTCTCTTTAGTCAAATTRAACAACAGAGATTTGAAATTCTAAGTAAATCTTGGTTACTGCGATATAAAGGCAAGATTCTATGACTTCAGGGTAGATAAATACAACATTCAATAAATAGAATAAAAAATATTCTTGGGCTGGGGCTGTAGCTCAGTGGTAAAGCACTTGCTYTGCATGTGTGAGGCACTGGGTTCAATCCTCAGCACCACATAAAAATAAATAAAGATACTGTGTGTTCATTTACAACTAAATAAATATTAAAAATAAATTCTTTTTAAATAAAATTGAAACAATTTTAAAAGCAATTATTTAAACTGCCTATACCGTCAGATTTTTTTTCCAGAAGTCTTTGAATTGTCAAATTATTGCCCCTAATAGAAGATTTTTAGGCACATTTATTTTCYTAAAAAAATGCTAATAAAGAAGAAATGGAGAGCTAGATGACACACAAATTAAACAGTTAAGAGTTGGCTTCATAAAATCAACTCTAGTTCTTAAAGGACAGTTGCTTTGCTCAGTCAACATAAAAATCATGTTTTCAGGGGGCTGGGGTTGAGGCTCAGAGGCAGAGCACTTGCCTTGTACGTGAAGCAATGGGTTCGATCCTCAGGACCACATAAAAATAAATAAATAAAGGTATTGTGTCCATCTAGAACTAAAAATAAAAAAATTGTAAAAAATCCTGTTTTCAGTGATTTCAGAAGGGTTCAGTATTCATCACGGAGAAATACAATGTTTAATTGCAGGCAATTACATCTGCTTCATTAATTGACAGTGTTTTTTCAAATGGTATGTGTGACTATTTATGGGTTATGACAATAAATGGGCTATAAAATCAATTTTAGTAGGTGATAACCCACAAGCATGGGCTTGCATACACTTAAACTCAATGAGTACACATTGAGTGCTATGTAAATATATTTACATACAAATACACATGTATGTGCTGCTTATGAAAAATGTTAGCTTTATTTATGTGCATATGAGTCTCAAAATTAAGAAAATTTTTTACTGTGGATGGCATTTAAAAACAATAATGCTATAAGATGTTTTTACTTTAGTGACAACCGTGAAGATGACAGTGCATTTTATGTATGATGGCCACAATCAGTACAGTACCATTTTGTGAAGCAATAGACAGAAAACATACAAAACATTGATCCAAGATGATTGTTGTGTGATTGCCCTGCCTTGCCTTGTTTTCTTCTTTCATGTTACTCATGGTGATTTAGAAGCTGAAGTTGCTGCTGGGCGCAGTGGCGCATGTCTGTAATTCCAGCAGTGAGAAGCTGAGGCAGGAGAATTGAAAGTTCAAACCCAGCCTCAGCAACTCAATGAGGGCTTGTCTCTAAATAAAATATAAAAAAAGGGCTGGTGATGTGGCTTGGTGGTTAAGCCCCACTGGGTTCAATCCCTGGTACCAAAAGAAAAAAAAAAAAAGAAACCAAACTGGAGCTACTGATTTTTAAAGTAAGGAATATAAATTGATTCAAGTTTTCATTTGCTCTATCCTGTCCTGTTAAATATATTGTGTGAAACCTTTGTAAAAAGTACCCTGACTTGCAAAATCACCTTAGTTGATTTCTATCTTTGCTCTTGCTTCATTCATTTCCCTTTAAGAAATCAAATCAAAATGTGGCTTGCTCTATGATATTATGAACTAGAAATGTCAAACTTGCAGATTAGACACATTTCTCTCAGGAATCTTAAATACCTTGTTCCTGCAAGAGGCTGATGGTAGGTCTTCCAGCTGAGCGTGAGTGAACATTTCTGTTTAATAACAACAAAATTCCTTTTAATACTTGGAAATCTGAAAGTATTATTTTTGTTCAATAATTCAGAGAAAAAGAGATGCAGAACTCCATTTCAGGAGGATTCTTTGTTCATTAWTTAATTTGCTCTATAGCTATTAATACAGAAAGATAAGTAAACCTACAGAGGCAAATTTAGTCTTTTGGCTAATTGGACCTGTGTGATTAGAACTTGTCTTTGCTCTTCCTTCTGTTTATCAGTGTTAGCAAATCTGGGAGAGAAATCTAGTCCAACCTGTAACAGAAAAATAAAGGAAATTACATATTTATGGCTTAATAAATCCCCAAAGAGATTCTATAAATTAGTACTATGTGGTAGAAACATAACATAAGCCATATATGGAATTCACATTTTATAGTAGCCACATTAAAAATATTGAAAAAAACAAGTGAAATTAATTTTAATAACAAACTTTATTTTATTTAACCCAGTAGGTTAAAAATATCATTTTAACATGTACAAAAACCTGAACTTTTTATATTATTTTTCTGGGAGGGGGTACTGGACTTTGAAATTCAGTATGTGTTTTACACTTACAGCCCATTTCAATTTGGAGGACTCATATTTCAAATGTTCAACAGCTACATGTGGTTATCACACTGGACAGCATAGATTATAGATGACTGTTTCCTTTGACACTATATTGGCATGCATTATATTATCTATATTCTAAGTTTGAGTGTTATTCTTCTATCTTGAATAAGGAATGGACTTTATTAATAGGTGATGAAAATATTTTAGCATTATAAATAATTTAAATAAAACTGTTACAAACTATACCCTGTTTAAAGTTTGCTTTTAAATTACTTATGAAGAGATACACATACACTACTTTAACTAACCAAAGCAATGACCCACGTTTAAGCAAAAGAGAGAGAGAGAAAAAAAAAGCAAAGTATTTAGAAATGCTATTAGAATAGTTTCTCTTATTAATATAAGCCTATGGTTTTCTATTCTTTCATTCCCATGCTCTCTTGTTTACTGAGGAACTATCAACAAATTCAGCTGAATGTAGTGAACATAATTATTCAAGTCAGTTATAATCACCAATATGAAAATAAGGATTATTTTCACCTATCATATATCATTTGGAGGTCTAGATTAAAAGTTGTTTGATCAGCTAATGGGTCTTTACCTCTCCAATTGCCAACAACTGATCCTTATACTTCTCAATGATAGGCAAAGCTAAATCCAAATCCTGGGAGAACAAAAAGTAAATTTGTTAAAATGGAAGAAGGAAACTACTATTTCATGAGTACACATTGAGTGCTAGGCTCTATGCTATGCCGATACTTTACATACATTTAATGTATTTAACCAGTTAGTGAACTAAGAATAGTAACCCTTCTATAATTGTGAGTACTTCTACCTATAGTCTGAGTAGAAACTTATCCCATACGTATTCAGATTATAAAAATATGACTTTTCAACGAAGAGTCCCACTTAATCATTGCCCTYTGTTTACAGACATTTCCTGGCAGTTAGTTAGGAAGTATAATTTGGTAAAATTTTGGATTATTATAGCCAACTGAATCTTTTAAAGACATAAATCACGTCTTGTCACTCCACACTTTACATCCTTCATTACATGTAAACTAAAATCAAACAAGGTCTTTATGAGATATCTTGTCCAATTCTTCTGATTCTATCATTATCACTTTCTCTATCCCTTTAGCCATATCAGCCTTCTATTTCTTCAATCCCCAGTACCTCAAAAAAATATAAAGTAAAACTAAACAACAACAGCAAAACACCATCCAAATTCCTATCAAATAATCATTTTTAATTTTTTTTTCAAAGCACTTAGTGCTTTGAAAGTTTTCTGGTTTATATAATTGATGATTGTCCCATCTAAAATCTAGCTTCCATGAGAGGGCTTTTATCCATTGTCAGGTCTCTAGTGCTCAGAGCAGGGGCTGGCACATAGTAGGTGCTCAGTAAACACTGGTTAACTAAATGAACACTTATGGTAATAGACCTCTATATAAATAGTAGAGATCCTTYGGAGTGCTGTACTGCTCTGGTTTCCAACATTTTGGATTGTGATTCTCTGGCAGTTTAGCTAATTGTATCATACTCAACAACTCAGGAGGACAAGAGGATAAGCATTTTTACCTGAAGTGAATTAAAAGCAATTTCTTTTTTTTTTTTTAAAGAGAGAGTGAGAGAGGAGAGAGAGAGAGAGAATTTTTAATATTTATTTTTTAGTTCTCGGCGGACACATCTTTGTTGGTATGTGGTGCTGAGGATCGAACCCGGGCCGCAYGCATTCCAGGCGAGCCCGCTACCGCTTGAGCCACATCCCCAGCCCCATCAATTTCTTTTCTTTTCTTTTTTTTCTTTTTGGTACTCAGGGATTGAACTCACTGAGCCACATACCCAGCCTTTAAAATTGTTTATTTTTTATTTTGAGACAGGGTCTTGCTAAGTTGCTTTGCACCCTGCTAAATTGCAGAGGCTGGCTTTGAACTCACAACCCTCCTGCCYCAGCATCCAGAGATGCTGGGATAACAGGCAAGTGCCACCATGCCTGGCAAAGCAATTTTATTTTGAAATAAAATATTTGCTGTTATGGTTTGGATATAAGGTATCCCCAAAAGTTTCCTGTTAATGCAGGAGTATTTAAATGTGAAATGATTAGATTATGAGACCTAATCAGTCCATCCTGGCTGGAGAAATGGTTCACTGGGGGCATGCCCTGGAAGGGCTGTTCTACCTGCAGTCCCTTCCTCTTTCTCTCTTCACTTCCTGATCTCACTATGAGCTGAGCAGCTTTCCTGCACTGGGCCTTTCCCTATGATGTGCTGCCTCACCCAGAGCAATGAAGTTGGCCGTCTATGGATGAAAATCTCTGAAACTATGAACCCCCAATCAACTTTACTCCCTCTAAGTTGTTCTTGCTGGGTATTTTGGTCATAGTGGTGAAAAGCCATCTAAAACATATGCCAAATTCATTCACTTCTCTTTACCTGTACTACTATCACTCTGGTTCAACCCATCATTATTCTCACGTGGACTACTGCAATACCCTTCTAACTATCCTTTTTTCTTTTTTGCCCTCCTCAGAATTCATTCTTCATACCGTAGACAAAGGGATCTTTTTAAAATATAAATCACACCTTGTCACCATCTTTAATGTAGGAATATACTAAATAACTTTCATTAGTATAAAAGTCGATGGCCCTATAACTTATTCATAGGTACCAAAGGGTAATTACTTCTTTGAAATGATCTATCACCTCCATTATATAATAAAAAAACTCAAAAAATTGTGCATCTTCATGATGCTGAGTCAGGAGACAAGCATGAAATATAACACATGTTGAATACTGTGAGTCATGAGACCTTGTGGATAGGATGTTTTTAGAGAGAGTGTAATATCAATGCAATTTAATAGCTTAAGAGCAATTCTGAAGAGATGCTTTCATGTTCAGAGAACCCACCTATTCACATTATACCTGTGAATCTTTGTATCTTTCTTTTTCTACATATATCCTATCACTTTTTTTTCCAAAGAAATATGATTACAGGACAAAAAATGTGGAATAAAGTAATTTATAATTCTATCAAATCATCATAATTATTATCATTTCTGGGTTTTTCTTTCCAGTCTTTTCCTTGTGGAATATATTTTTATTATTATTATTTTTGGGGGGTACTGGGGATTGAACTCAGGGGCATTCAACCACTGAGCCACATCCCCAGCCCTATTTTTGTATTTTATTTAGAGATAGGGTCTCACTGAGTTGCTTAGCGCCTCGCTTTTTGCTGAGGCTGGCTTTGAACTTGAAATCCTCCTGCCTCAGCCTCCCAAGCTGCTGGGATTACAGGTGTGCACTATGGTGCCCGGCTTGGAATATGTTTTTACATGAATATTACTAATAGTCAATAAACTATTTGGTATTGTTTTTCTCCTTATTATAGTAAACATTTTTCATGTGCTACAATAACTTCATAATTCTCATTTTCTATAACTGAATTATAATTAACATTCTACAAGTCAGTTAATGATTCCTTTATTTCTGAACCTTGTGGCTGTTTCTATTTTTCTCTACTATAAATAATGTCATAACAAATTTTTTTGTGAAAAAATGGATTACTTTCTTAGAATATAAATTAGAAAGAGGAGGATAACTGGGTCAAAGTTATTATCAGGAGCTGGGGTAGAGCTTAGTGGTAGAGCTCTTGCCTAGCATGTGTGAAGCACTGGGTTTGATCCTCAGCACCACATAGAAATAAATGAATAAAATAAAGGTATTGTGTCCATCTACAACTAAAAAAAAATTTTTAAAGTTATTATCATTTTTATGGGTCTTGTTTTATATGACTATTACCTTTAATGTAACACTTCTTTGGTCTTCTGGTGAAAGTTCTTGAACTGGGTGAACACCCAAGCATGGCAGAATGAACCCGCTGTATCTAAAAATGTAGAATAAATTAAGAACACAGGAATATAGAGTAGGCAACTACAGTGTCAATCTAAAGTAGAAAAGAATCTTAATTTTAGGACTATGCTAATATGCTTTTTCCTCCCATTCTCTTTAAAAATAAATATTTGATGTTATATAATTGATATAAGTGTCCTTAATAGCAATTCTTTAAAATTTTAATTAGAAGGAGTACCTTTCTGAAAGTTGCATAATCTTTTCAAATTCTCCTGAATGTTCAGCAACTGCTACAAGGGCCATAACATTGGCCTGAAAAAAAAAATAGAATAGTTAAGAGTCCCAAACAATACACATCACACATTTAATTCAAATTTTAAATTTAGTTATTTTTATTTACTCTGGCTTTTATTATTAATATAATAATAATGGCTAACACTGAGTACTTACTGTTTCAGGCCCCAGGCTCAGTTAATATAAATATTATCTCCCTTAATATACACAGACCTAGGAGGTATGTATTGTTATAATCCACTGTATAGATCAGTAGACAGAGTTTTGAATACAGTCAAATAGCTTAAATAGGTCATTAGGCCTGTGGGATTCTAAAGCGCACCCACCTAATTAGGCTGTATGTAAAAAGACATTGGCAATCATTTCTAATTCTATTACTCTCCCCCAGCCCCCAGCCCTTCCCCCCCAAGTAATAAGGATCCAACCCAGAGCCTTGGGCATGTTAGGCAAGTGCTCTACCACTGAGTTGCATCCCTAGCCCTTTTTCTAAATTCAGTTTTAAGGCAGGGTCTGACTAAGTAGCCCAGGCTGTCCTCAAACTCATGATCCTCCTGCCTCAGCTTCCTGAGTAGTTGGGATCACAGGCATGAGCCACCACACCCAGACTCTACCACTTTCTGATTAGACCGCGGAAATAAAAATGTTTCAGAAAACTTTTATAATATATCCCCAATCTCTAGAATAATGTGAATTTAAGAACTTACAGATGGACCATTCTGTTATACAAGACTAGTAAGAATGGTGGTTTCAGGAATATGTTTTGAATTCAGACTAACCTGTCTCTATCACTTCACTAGCATGTGTATTTGAACTAGAGTTACTAATTTCTCAGCCTTAACTGTGTCATCTATCAAATGGGAAATGGTTGGCTACAAAATAGTACTTCCTCAGAAGGTTATAAAACATTAAGTGAGATAAAATTCAGAAAGGGCTTAGCTTGGTTCCTGGCATAGAGTAAGCATTTGTACAAATGCCACTTATTAACTTCTGAAACAACATCAACATAGTATATCTAAACTTCAAACTGTTTCAGCTTGAAATTAGTCACAGTTTGAGATTAGCAGGAAAGACAAAGAAGAACAAGGGAGACAATTATAAGTACTGACTTACCTTCTTGGCTTTTTCCAACACATCGTCCAGATCCTAAAATAAGCATAGATTATCACAATTAGATGAATATGTAATGACTCCTTGGCTGTGTATATTGACGMAATTGAGGAACCATAAAGAATGACAATGTTAGCAAGGAACAGGATGGTGGAAAGTGAGGAGCCTACACTGACCCACCTCCTGTTACTCTCAAGTCTGGCTTCTTTTGTCACTGCACTAAAAAAGAAATTGCTATTGTCAAACATCAAGGATATTTCTCTGTTCTCTTCTTACTCTACCTCTCAGCGGCACTAGGAACCCCTCATTTGTATACTTTTTCCTTCTTGAAAGAGTTTCCACTCTTGCTTTGTACAACCATCATATTCTCGCCGGCAGCTACTTGTTAGTTTCATGACTGGCTTCCCTCCTTCTCTTGACTTCTCCCTCTGCTCTTCCTTCTGCACTTGCATTAAGGGATCTCATCTGTTTTCAGTTTTAAGTATCATTCTATTGGGGCTGAGGTTTTAGCTCAGTAGTAGAGCACCTGCCTAGCAGGTGTGAGGCACTGTGTTCGATCCTCAGCACCATATAAATAAATAAAATAAAGGTGTTATGTCTATCTGTAACTTAAAAAAATTAAAAGATCATTTTGTTGAATCTCCAATCTCTCCTGAACCCATGATTCATATTTAAAAATGACTATATGACCGTTCCACTTGGACGGATCAAGCTTTCCAACCTGTTCCCAATATAAATCTTTCTTTTCTTCCCACAAACCAATTTCTTTTGCTTACCTCCCCACCACATCCTAGTAAGCAGCTCCACAATTCTCCCTACAGTATAAGCTACAAATATGAGTCTACTTTGATTTTTCCCTTTCCCTTCCTCTCCAAATCCAATTCCTTAGCAAGTATAATAGAGTCTATCTCTAAAATATTTCTTGAATACATCTACTCCTTTCAGACTCCTCCACTATCATTATAGTACTGTTACCAAAAGCTCAGTCCTTGTCTCTGACATCAATCCAATAACGAGGGCATAGTTTTGGCAATATGTAAATCAATGGAAGTGTAACTGATGTGATTCTGCAATCTGTATAAGGGGTAAAAATGGGAGTTCATAACCCACTTGAATCAAAGTGTGAAATATGATATATCAAGAACTATGTAATGTTTTGAACAACCAATAAAAAAAAAAGAAAGGAAAACAAAGTTTCATTGCTTTGCTAGCAAAGGAGAAAACATGAGGGATTCCTGTCACAGAGGCTGTGATTCTGCTCATCAGGGGGAATGGGGGAGGGCGGTTTATTTATTTATTTATACTTCTAATAAACTAGAAAAATACTTTGATTAAGTAAAACAACAATATACCATGAAAAAGCCACTCTCATTATCTGGAATACTAAAACCCTTATATAACATTACATATTTTAATATAAAACAGTAGAAACTCATCAGAAACCTCAAAATATTCAAAAACCAATGTTAAGTACTCAGAAAAAGCTCCAGAATCCGAAATCTCATACTCTATACATCCCAGTGTTACCCTAAATTGTGATTAGCTACCCATACGCTGTGTCATAATTGACCTTTTCAAAATTTACAGACAAGTCAGTGCATCTATTTTAAAAGAYTACCCTTTACAGTTAAGAACTTTACATTAACTTTTATATTCTACTCAGCAAGATTTCTGGAATAGGGGAGTTTTAAAGAGGTGATTCAGGGGGCTGGGGCTGTAGCTCAGTGGCAGACCGCTTGCCTAGCACATGTGAAGCATTGGATTGATCCTCAGCAGCACCACATAAAAATATATTAATAATTTTTTTTTTAAAAAAGGTGATTCAAAGGCTAAGTTCCTGTAGTTTTCTGTCCAGAGTTGTAATTCATTTGTTTATTTGTGAGCTAGTCATCTCTTAAAATCCCCCAAGTCTGAATAATTTCTATTCTATTCCTGTTCTGAGTGTGTGCTCAAGGCCAGATAACTGCCTAGGATGGGAAAGCAAGATAATCCTGTTTGCCCTAAAATTAGGGAGGGGGAAATTCCAGAGAGAAAGGGAGGGAGAGAGGAAGTGAAAGAAAACATGTCCATTTTAAAATAAGCCCTCAGTGGCAGAACAGCAAGGGCTATATTCAAAGCACAAAGTGGATCATTGTTACAGTACTAAGCATCATTTCTTGTCTGATTATGTAAAAGTCTCTTAACTGGTCTACCTTCTATTCTACCTCCATCTATTTGCCACAGCAGCAAAATGATCTTCAAGTGGCTATTTGATCTGGTCAGCCTTATTAACTCCCCAGACCCACTTTTAATGGAACTGAATTGTGCATCTAATGCAATTCAAATTCCTTACTGACTTACCTTACCCATCTCCTACAAAATTCTTCAGTCTAGCTTCATTCCTTCCTCTCCGTAGCTCATTAGGCTCATCCAGCCTTTTGGTAAATGGAATGCGCTAAATTTTATCCTGGGGACCTGCAACCTGCCTGCTCCACTAAACCACCTTGCCTTGGCTGGCTTTTTTATATTCCCAGCCATAAGCCTCACCTCCTAACAAGTTTGCTCCCTGAAAGAGACACCCACTCTTCCTTCTCTGTTAGCAGTCTCTTGTTTCCAACGTAGCAGGCAAAACACTTTATAAACTGGTTTTGTGAGTGTGAGTGTTATTCTTTTAGTTTGCCTCTCTGCTTCATTAGAACTGGAGCATGCGATGTGTCAGATGGCGGGGGGGGGGGGGGGGGGGGGGGGGGGGCGGTTAGAGAATATGGGATAAGCAGCCCGGTCCAGGGAAGGTAAGAAAAAGGACTTCAAGAACCAGAAACAGCAAACACAAGCTTTGTGGAGAGTCTACTGTAATCCAAGGTCAGAAAAAAAAAAAAAAAATCAATATGACTGGGGTGAAGCAGGAAATCGGGCAGGTCTCAAAGGGACACGGGCAAGGCCTGGGATTTGCGGGCTTCACTCCAACGGGGAAGAGAAAGATAATCTGCGGGGAAAAGACGAGAACCTCCCCACTTTCCCGAGTCCCGCCTCGTTCTCACATACGCTATCAAAGTCCGAAGCGGACAGGTGGCAGTGACAATCCACCAGMCCCTTGCCAACCGCGCCCATCGTCCCTTCTGCAGCCGCCACTTCTCTAAACACGCATTGCGAAGCAAAAGCCGGAACGCTTAGGCTGCGTCCCCTCGAGTTTCAGGCGGGAMGTGTGCTCCTTCCACTAGCTGGAACTCGGACTTCCGGTCCCAGGGTCCCCGCCTGCAGTTCAAACTGGAAAATGGCGGGGGCTTCTGMGTCAGTGGCTGTCGCCCCTTCGCAGGACCAAGAGATAGTGGTCGGGACAGACAGCCAGACCGCAGGCCCAGCCAACCCCCGAGAGGACTTCCGAGTGCGCTGCACTTCGAAGAGAGCTGTGACGGAACTGGTAGAACTGTGCCGCTGCTTCGTGCAAAAGCTCGGAGACGCGCTGCCAGAGGAGATTCGGGAGCTCGCGCTGCGAGATGCGCTGTGGGTACGGACCAAGTTTGCCGCCTGTTTATCACTTCCTTACCCAGTACTCCGGGTCTCCGGGCTAAGAAAGACCCTACTCCAGGCCTCAGCGGAATTAACGGTGCCCAGGCTGCTGTAGAAGCAGCCTGAGAAAGGCGAGGGGAGAACGAAATAGATGTTAGTATCAGCTGGGTATTATTAATTACTTGGACCAGTGCTGACCCGGGAGAAATGTAAGGCGACCTGCATAAATAATTATAAAAGAAAAAACAGGCGAAATTAATTGAAATAAAAATGTTTTCTTTAACTCAAGCTACCATTTTACCACTTAAAGTAATGATACACTGAACGTGTTAACTTTCCTTTCTACGTGTCTATTGATTCCTCTTTTGAACGGAGCAGGCATATAATACATTCTGAGGAATTCTCCAAGAAAGGGTAATCCTGGAAAGTCACCTGGTCTTGGCCTTTTGCCGTTTTAGAACCTCTTAGAAGCAGATCGAAAACATTTTCTTTATAAGTCTAAAATAAGTGAAGAGGGTCCATATGTTGCTTATAAATTTCATTAATGTCAAAGTTAGTCCTTATAACACATTTTCCCTTCCTTTCTCGGATATTTTGCAAAGCCCTGGAGATGGTAGTTGTTGGAAAAAGGAAATAAATTGAGGAATTGGTGCCTATCATAAGGAAACACACAATCTGTGCAAGAAAAATAATTTATAGCTTATAATGCAGCACATTGGTGAATATGAATGATCACAGTGCAAAGAGTTAAAATAGAGGTTAAATGGAAAAAGAATGAAGAAAATTCTTTGGGTCCCAGAATGATGGTGCTTGCCTGTAATCTCAGGTACTTGGGAGGCTGAGACAAAAGGATCACAAATTCAAGGGCAGCCTAGGCAACTTAGTGGGGACCTTGTCTCAGAACAAAAATAATAAGGATGGGGCTGTAGCTCAGTTGTAGGGTGCCTCTGGGTTCACTCCCCAGTATTGCTGGGGGTGGGGGGGAGAGGGAGGGAGTAAGAGAGAGAGAGAGAGAGAGAGAGGAAGAGATTGAGAAGAGAAGGGAGAGAAAGGGGAGAGGAGAGAGAAAGGAGAGAGAAGAGAGAGGGAGAAGGAGAGGAGAGAGAAACTCCTTAAATTGTAATTGTAATTTGTATTCCAATTTTATATGCAGTGGTTCATGKAGAGAGAGGGGGGAGGGGGAGAGGGAGGAAGGAGAGAGAAACTCCTTAGGTTGTAATTTGTATTCCAGTTTTATATGCAGTGGTTCATGTCATTCCCTCTTGTAAGAAAGGCAAGAAAAGTATACCTCAGAACATTTTTTTAGTAGTTTTTTTGAAAGAGGACTGCAATAATAATAGAGTTTCTCTGATCTTAGGAAATGTTAAGGTACTTTAAACACTTAATTACCATATGTAAAAAGCAGAATGTGGCTTAACATCTTATATCCTCTTTAGTGAGATCTTAAAGTGAATCAACAAGATAAATTTTTGAAGGCTTAGACTAACTACCAAGGAAATTAACTTGTGTTTCATTTTAAATAAGCTTTAATTATATTGATGTAGCTCTTCATCTAAAACTGTATAATATAGTAGCATTTATTCTACAAAAAAAGTATTGGTAGGACTGCAGTGAGTATTACAAAGACAATTTGTATTCTTAGGTAATTCTTGCAAGTCCATACATAAATTCTTGCAAGCCCATACATATTTTGTATTGTGTTATGAACATTTTCAACCTAAATTTTACTTTATAAAATCCTTGTAGAATATACATTTTATAATTGTCAGTTATTTGATTTATGCCTATTTTTAATTATAAAAGTGGTACAAAACACATACTTGTTTTTAAAAATTTAAACAGTAGCATTTAAATTTAAGCAATTCTATTTTGCTTAAATTTAAGCAAAATTCTGCTTTGAATTTCTTTTCCTTATCCCTCTTCAAAGCTTCCTGGAGATAACTATTTGGAGAGTACCTGGTGGGGAATAACCCCCCCCCCACACACACACCTTTTTTTATGGTTTTACTCCCCCTTCTGTTTTTCTTTGCTTGCTTGCTTACATTAATAGTGTCGTGCTGATGAATTGTTATTGACTTGCCTTTTTTTAAAAAAAACTAAATGTCTTTGACTATTACCTGTCAATTTTTTTAAAGATGTATAATTATTTTTTTAGTTGTAGTTGCACACAATAACTTTATTTATATGTGGTACTGAGGATAGAACCCAGAGCCTCGCACATGCTAGGCGAGCACTCTACCACTGAGCCACAGCCCAAGCCCCCTGTCAATGTTATATAGAGATGATATTCTTTCAAAGTACCATCTGGTGTGGGTATTTATCAATTTTCCTGATTTTTAAATTGAATTTTATTTTTCCCCTTAATTTTTCATATTTCAAACAGTATTGAAATGAACATTCTGTACCAWAAAGAGTCCATCCTCTTTAATTTTTTTAATTAAACTAATCCATTTAGATATATTGCTATAAGTGAAATTGTTGGGTAATAGGGAATATGCATTAAAAATTTAATGGCACTACCAAATTCCTTTAGTTCTTTATTTTGTATTGTGTTAAAGCAAATCTCAGGTCTTTCTGGTCTTTGCATCCCTAAAAAAACCTTTTTTTTTTTTTTTTTTGTGGTGCTGGGGATTGAACCTAGGGCCTTGTGCATGTGAGACAAGCACTCTATCAGCTGAGCTATATCCCCAGCCTCCCCAATATTGTTATTTATAAAGTAGAAATTAATTTTAGTTTATTTTAAGGATGTTTATTTTCCCTCTTGTTAACAGTGGCATTCATTCTGCAGCATGTGTATCACTAGTACACCTGGGATTCAATTGAGTCCAAATTGTTAGCCTTTATTTTTAATTTCATATACAGGTTTTTTTATTTATTTGTTTACAAGAATATTCTAAAATTATGCAGCAAATTTTCTCACAGGTACCATAATGGCTATCATAGCTAAAATTGTTATCAGTACATCTCAGTGACTAAAATGGAATTTTACTTCATTGCAAAGAATAAATGCACTAATAGGCTAGTCTCTAACTTTTCTATGTACATGGTCACAAATCTGAAATTATTTTGACAAAATGCTTGGATTTGGCATTAAAAAATTTTTCAGTGACTTGACTACTGTGAATTTATTGCAGACCTTTGAATCAGCTGTGCAAGAGAATGTCAGCATTAATGGGCAAGCATGGCAGGAAGCTTCAGATAATTGTTTTATGGGTATGTGTCATAACTTTTTCTTCTATCATTAATTTCTTTGTTTTTTGGTCGCTAATTTTATTTTGAATATTTCTTTTAAATCCCAGTTGTCATTATCACTTGTTTTTAATTCTTTATGTGAATTATGAGGATAAAAAGTGGAAACTAATATAGAAGACTATTGAAGTCATAATCTGGAGAAAACACAGTAGTTACCTTGATCCATCATATATGCTCTCTAGTATTATAAACAGGATTTCATCTGATTAATCTTTAAAGTTTATTGGAAAATACTGTAGTATTATCCCCAGATGAAGAAACAGGCCCATGTCAGCAGGCTGGTTTCTYCTGAGACTTCTGCCCTTGGCTCACAGATGACCACTTTCTCATTGTGTCCTTTCTCACTGTGTCCTTTTCACTGTGCATGCATGTCTGTGGTGCCGCTTTTCTTATTACACAAGTCATACTGGATTAGGACCTTTCCATATTACTTCATTTTAAGTGTCTATCTCTGAGGTTTTCTGAGAGTTAATACTTCATAAGAATTTTACAGGGTTATAGTTCAGACCAAAATGTTCTGTTAGAGGGCATCTAACTTATCACAAAAGTCTGACTACTTTGCTGAAGGTAGTTGCTCTGGCAGATGAGAGATTATAAAAGGAGAGGAGAAGTTCTGCCAGCCCCCCAGCCATTCTGGCCATCCCAGCTAAGGCAGCAGACCTGTGATTGAAACCATCATGGGTCCTTTGGTCCATCAAGCCACCAACCCATATTATATAGAACAAAGATGAGCTTTTTCTACCACCCTCTACCCATGAACAGAGAGCAGATAAGCRGCAGTTCTTTTTTTCTTTTTTAATTTTTTTTATTGGTTGTTTAAAACATTACAAAGCTYTTGACATTATCATATTTCATACATTAGATTCAAGTGGGTTATTAACTCCCATTTTTACCCCAAATACAGATTGCAGAATCACATCGGTTACACATCCACATTTTTACATAATGCCCTATTAGTAACTGTTGTATTCTGCTACCTTTCCTATCCTCTACTATCCCCCCTCCCCTCCCCTCCCATCTTCTCTGTCTACCCCATCTACTGTAATTAATTTCTCTCCTTGTTTATTTTCCCATTCCCCTCACAACCTCTTTTATGTAATTTTGTATGACATTGAGGGTCTCCCTCCATTTCCATGCAATTTCCCTTTTCTCTCCCTTTCCCTCCTCATGCCTCTGTTTAATGTTAATCTTTTCTTCCTGCTCTTCCTCCCTGCTCTGTTCTTAGTTGCTCTCATTATATCAAAGAAGACATTTGGTATTTGTTTTTTAGGGATTGGCTAGCTTCACTAAGCATAATCTGCTCTAGTGCCATCCATTTCCCTGCAAATTCCATGATTTTGTCATTTTTTAGTGCTGCGTAATACTCCATGGTGTATAAATGCCACATTTTTTTTATCCATTCATCTATTGAAGGGCATCTGGGTTGGTTCCACAGTCTAGCTATTGTGAATTGTGCTCCTATGAACATCGATGTGGCAGTATCCCTGTATTACGCTCTTTTAAGGTCTTCAGGGAATAGTCCGAGAAGGGCAATAGCTGGGTCAAATGGTGGTTCCATTCCCAACTTTCCCAGGAATCTCCATACTTAAGCAGCAGTTCTTTTAAGCCACTTGTTTACAGGAGATTTGTTATACTGTAGTAGACAAAACACCAGAATACTATGTATGCAAATGGTTCTGTTGTCAGATTTGACAACTCTAACATGAAATAAATTCACTTATATTGGGGGAAAAAAAAAGAAAAGTAAAAGAAACAGGCCCAGACAATTCCTATTCATTCCTTATAAAACAAGTTTTATTTTTGTAAGTGATCCTTAGAGTGGATACTGAAGCACCCTTAGAAGTAGTATACTAGTACCAAGCAAAGGATGAGGTCATATATTTGTAGAAGACTCCTTAAAAAGAATATTTTCTTGGCCTACAGCAGAGTTGATTATATATATATATATATATATATATATATATATATATATATATGATCATTTATATACATATGTATGTATACACACACTCTAACAAGTATCTAAAGATATCAAAAGTTTTAAGAGAAAGAATGGTTAGTGTTGAAAGAAAAAAAAAAGGTAGGGAATTATTAGTGTGAAAAGAGAGGCAGAATTCCCCTTGCCAGGACAGCAATGTCCAGAGAAGGGCTACCTTGACAAGAGAGACTAGTATGTTCTCATGGTGCTGTCACTCAGATCTGACTAGCATAGCTTGAAGTCACTGCTTTATGTTCATATTATTGAGTTGAAGTCACTAGCATAGCTTTATGTTCATACCCCTGAGCTGACTACAGCCCTACCACAAAACTGTCTGTGGTTATAATTTTTCTTCTCAACATTGAGGTAATACTTCGCTCTGAAGACTTTACTGTCCTTAGGATTATAATATTTATCTCTTCAAAGTTACCAAAATTCACTTTTTTATTTATACATTAAAATGAAAAAAACAATTGCTGAATGTGGTGGTGCAAGCTTGTRAGGAGAGGTAGTTGAGAAAGCTACAGTATACTTTCACCTTCTTTCATGGTACCTGGTAAATGCTAGGTCTTATGCCAAATGCTGGAAAACTGAGGAACAGACATGGTCCTGACATTTAGGAACTAATCATTCATGGAAGGAAATGGAGAGCTGTGACCACCTGTGCAGAAATCAGAGCCTCTGTTTTCCAGTCACATGACTGCAATCTAGCCATCGCACAAGACCATTCCAGCTCCTCCCACTTTACCAGACACCCCAGCGCTGGAAGCAGAGAGACTCCATTTTGGAAAACTTTTCTCGCCATTTTTTGATAGGTGTGGCTATCAGCGTAGATCTCCGTTTGAACAGACCCTGAAAGCTAGAAGATCCTGGAACAATATATTTCAAGCTCTGAAAGATAATGGGTGCCAACCAAGAATCTTGTATCCAGCAAAATTAAGCTTCAGATTTGAAGATGAAATAAAAACCTTCCACGATAAAAAAAAGTTAAAAAAATTTATAGCTAGAAAACGAGAACTACATTTCATGAAGAGGAAATGAAAAACAACAATGAAAACCAGCAAAGGGAGGTAGTACACTAAAGGAAAAAATAATCAAAGAGAAAAAACAAGTTAAATAACAAAAATAAACCAATATGGCTGGAAATACAAACCATGTCTCAATAGTAACCCTAAATGTTAATGGCTTAAACTCACCAATCAAAAGACATAGGCTAGCAGATTGGATTAAGAAAAAGAATCCAACAATGTGCTGCCTACAGGAGACTCATCTGTTAGGAAAAGGCATTACACAGACTGAAGGCAAAGGTTGGGAAAAATCATACCACTCACATGGACTACGGAAGTAAGCAAGGGTTTCCATACTCATATCAAATAAAGTAGACTTCAAGCCAAAATTAATCAAAAGGGATAAAGATGGACATTACATACTGCTCAATGGAACCACACACCAACAAGACATAACAATCATAAATATGTATACCCCAAACAATGGTGCAGCTATGGAAGGAAATGGGTGTGGAATCACTATGCTCTTTGGAAAGTGGGAGAAGACCTAACAGTAGGTTGTTGTTAAGTAAGATGCATAAATAAATGAGTGTGCTAGATAGGAAGTAGCAAGGATATCTGAAACAAAACAGCATGTGCAAAAGCACACAGGAGTGATGTGTTTGGAAAATATCAGAAGTGAATTGGGAAAAATGGCAGATGTGGCCAGAAAGAAAAGTTGAGGTTAAATTTCCAGTAGCCTTGAAGGATATGCTAAGGAATTTGTACTTTATCTGTAGGCAATGTGAAGCAGTGAGGTTTTTGTCTGGTTTTGCAGTGCTGGGGATCTAACCCATCTGTGTCAGGAAAGCACTCTACTGTTGAGCTACACCCCCAGCCCTCAATGAGTTTTTAAAAGTAGAATTAGATGCAAAGGATTCTGTTTTAGAAAACTAACTGCTGACTGTCTGAGGGATGGATTGGAGAATGGAGAAATTTAAGGCAGTCAGCCCATAGGGAGTTAATTGCAATAGTGCAGCAAAAGATGGTGAAGACCTGCACTAAGACAATAGAAAAAGATACGTTCAAGAGATATTTAGAGCCAGGTGTAGTGTCACACCCTTATAATCCCAGTGGCTCAGAGTCTGAGGCAGGAGGATTGTGAATCCAAGGCTGATGTCAGCAATTTAACAACATCCTATCTCAAAATAAAAAAATAATAAAAAAGGAATGGGAATATATATAGTTCAGTGATAGAGTACCCATGAATTCAATTCCCAGTACCCTCCCCCCAGAAAAGAGAGAGATTCAGAAAATAGAATTAATAGGATTTGTTTTGTTTTTGATGTAGTACATAGAAGCAGTAAGTAAGCTTTACAAGGGCAGAGGTGGTTTTTTAAAAAATTTTTTATTTGTTCTACATGACAGTAGAATGCATTTATGCACTTTGATATATCATACATAATGGGATATAATTTCTCATTTTTCTGAGTGTACATGTTGTAGAATCATATTGGTCATGTAGTCACATATATACATAATAATGTTTGTTTCATTCTACTATCTTTCCTATCCCCACATCCCCTCCCCTCCCCTCCCATCACTTCCCTCTACCTAATCTAAGGCAACTCTATTCTTCTGTAGTGCCCCGCCCTACTTATTGTGAATTAGCATATTAGARAGAATATTCRGCCTTTGGTTTTGTGAGATTGGCTTTTTTCACTTAGCATGATATTCTCCAACCATTTACTGGTAAATGCCATAATTTCACTCTTCTTTAAAGCTTTGGAATATTCCATTAAGTATACATATACCACATTTTCTTTATCTATTCATCTATTGAGAGACACCTAGGTTGTTCCATAGTCTAGCTATTATGAATTGAGCTGCTATAAACATTGATGTGGCTGCATCATTATAGTAGGCTGATTTTAAGTCTTCTGAGTATAAACCAAGGAGTGGGATAGCTGGGCCAAATGATGGCCCCATTCCCAATT